TATCTAATTATGTTACCTGTTGAAATCAAACAGGGTTGAAGTTTTCAGCTTGTATGTTTCATTAAAATTTACCTGTACAGGTAACTCAGGTTTCTTCTCAAATTGACATTTCACCTTTTCTTGAAAATGTAGAATAGAATGTTGTTTAAGTCTTTGTTAATTCATATCATTTGTTGATTTTTCTGTCTTTAAATTTACATATTTTCCTTTTTTTCTAATGTTTTTATTTTTTTATGTTATTTTTTATATTCTATTTGTTTTTTTGCTCTCTTGGAAAGAATCTTGAGTAGAAATGACAAAAATTCAAAGATAAGTTATTGACTAGCATTTGAAAACAAAACAGAGAATCCTTCAAATAAATATTTTTTCAGTAAAAAAAAGTTATTGTACATGATGTACATGGTATTCATCTGTTCGTTTGCATTATTAAATGAATTATTATTAATTATAACTTATAATTATGCAAATGATATGTTTAAAGGAACCATGAAGCAAGTAATTTAACAAGCCTGTTTCTTAACAAATGAAAATTATCAATTTCATGAATATCAATCCTTTTACAATAAATTTTGTCAACAAAGTTGTACAATCTATTATCATGATTATTTTTTCAGGAAAACTACAAATATCATTATATGGTATAGGAATAAACTATTTTTGTTTTATCTTTTATATTTTTCAAATCTCAAAACTGGAGTTGTGCATGAAAAATCACTAAAGAGACTTAAATTTTCCAAATGGCTAACTAGTTATCATCAAATTTCGATAAATGCTAATCATAATGAAAAATGTTCTTATCTCTGAATAAAGTAAATCTTATGAAAAGAAATTATTTAAAGAAAAAATTGTCTTGCATTTTGAAACAATTGTAAATTCAAATATGTTATCTTCAGTTTCGCTAATATTGTCAGTTAACAGGCAAAATTTGTCTCCAGAAAAAATGAAGTACACTTCTATATGGATTGTGACATTTTTATGGTCTATTAATTAAATCGCTTTTTGTTCTGTGTATTATATTGTCGAAACTGCAGGACTGGCATATGCATGATACATATTCTTGGTATACATTTGCAAAGAATATTTCACTCAACTCAGGCCTTTTAGATAAAGTTAATAATTGCAGGGACTTGAATGAATTAGATTCTTTAAAGCCCTTGATTAAAAATGAACTTTAAGAAAAAAAATAAGAATATTTTTGAAAATAAAATAAAAACTTATGATGAAAACAGTAAACTCAAATGCCTCACTAAGTAAAGAATTAGTGGTCGTAATTTAGAAATAGAAAATGGTGGATAAAAATTCCTATAAAGGATAGAATTGTTTGTAAAATTAACATAACAACTTAGAGATAATCTATTGTAAATTGTTTACCTTCTCATAATAATGTCTCTGACCAGTTTATGAATAAAATCTTGAATCTTATGAATAAATTCTTAACCAAGAACAAAAAGTAAAAGAAATAATAAACCTCTATAACATGGAACATGTAAAAAAAAGTCATTAGATCTGAGGGTAGAAACCAAAAAAAATCATCATGTGTTTTGATTTCTTATAAAAATGTTATTTCTTTGCATTATAATGTTTGTTTTTGGTTGTTTTTTTTTGTCCGAAACTTGATTTAATTGTAATATGTTTATATGACAATAAAAATATTATTAAATTTTTCTGTAATGATTATTTTGAATATACATGTATTTATTCAATAGCGAAATAATGAATTGCCTAAATTTTATATAGAATAAGTCCTAAAATAATCTTAAACATTTGTTAAACAATGTTAAATGCAGTAAGTATAAACAATTTTGATTTTAGAAAATTAATTTGAGAAACACCTTTTCAATGGAAAAAGGCAGGATGAAAGTTTGCATAAATTAGAAGATGCTATTCATTTATTATTCACTTGCCAAAAATACATATAAAAAATAACTTAAATTGACAGAATTATTTAAAAGGTATAACATTAAAAAGAACAGTCATGAGAAAATTTTTACAAAAAAAAAGTTAGGAAGCTTTATTTTCAACTAGTTTTATTATTTCATTTTATTTTAGAATTTTCTTGTCATAATCACAGTTATTAAATTTGACAAACACATATATTTTACCTGAGACACTTTACCTGTAAGTTATATAATTTTAACACTTCAATGCAGTCATGATTTCCCTTTATCATTGACAAGTTTTTGATTAATACCTTGTGTATTAATTAAGCAACAGGAGGTATAATGATGGACATTTAGGGCCATCATGGTGACCATATTTTTTATGGCCACCATTAATAAGATAATGTCACAGGTAGTACTGTAGATGTCTGACTTTAAATGTGACTGTACTTGATTATGTTCTAAATGCAAGAAGAATTTGCTTCGTCCTTTCATCAGCTGACTTATTTCTAATTAAAGAGCCCTTTTCCTGTGTATATAATAATATATGTATGTTGGTGTTGTCTCTTTTAATAATATATACTAATATTATTAATTTGTATAGTTTGACTAATTAGATTCGTTCAGGAATAGTCACATATTAAACTATATTTTCAAAAGTCGATTGAAAACGGCGGATAGAAAAGTGATATTGCACGGTTATTTTTAGTATATCTAAAAACCGATATACTTTGTGACGTAATCTAATGAATTTCATGATATTGTTAAAAAATTTTAAAAAGTGGTTAATTATGATCGATTATTTGAAAAAAAAATCTTCAAATACATAAGATGTACACAAAAAAACAACATAAAAATAATTAAAATAACAACTAATATGTTATAATTGGCCAAGAGACAATATGATATCTATAAAATTCCAACAAAATTAAATGATCGAAAATAGAGATTATAATGCACTGATGATTTTGATACAAATATCGTCGGAAATTGATAATATAACAATTGTAGACTTAGTATGAGGTCAATACAGGATAACTCGACCCAAAGAAGTATACCGACCTCGGACTTCGTCCTCAGTCAATATATTTCTTTCAGGTCAATATTATACACCTATTGACTGGTTATGAGCGTAATAGCAAGTTTGTTGTCCCTGAGATACCAACTTTTACTCGAGGCATAGCCGAGGGCAATAGTTAGTATCAAACAGACAACAAACTTGCTATTACACTCATAACCAGTCATTAATAGAGATTATTGTACCTCAGTATGTTTTTTCTATATAAAAAAGATTGAAATAGTTGTGCTATTTTATTCCACAGACTATTTGCCAGTCAATAGTTTCAAAGACTATTACCCCAGTTAATAGTTTTATAAACATATTTCCCGTACTTTTTCATACTAATTTTTCATTGGACAACATTGACGTCATTGGCTATTCTGCTTGGATTTGTGTGCTTGGCAACGTTAAACTCTGAAATATCGTTAACGGTATAATCTGTATGTGTCTGTCGTTGTAATTTCAAATTAATATATTACTTACCAGAAGCAAGTAAAAAGACAAAGAAAATCTACATGACATATTTTAAGAACTAAAACATAACAAATATATGGTATGGGTCTGTCGTCGTCTTCATAATCTGGGATTGCTTTGGTGTATTTAGCTAACGTGTATTATATGCACGGGAATTTTTACACAAGGATTCCTGATCTTGATTAAAGTAGATAAAATATTGAAAAATACCACATGGGGGAAAAAAACCCGATAGTTCATCTTTTGCGTGTTTATGTGACTAATTGTTTTTTTTCCAAGTGGTTTATGTAGTCTTTTGAAAGTTGTTTTGTTCGGTATAATAAAACACTGAATGATTGGTTATGAGTGTAATAGCAAGTTTGTTGTCCCTTTTATACCAACTTTTGCCCTCGGCCTCGCCTCGAGCAATAGTTCGTATCTCAGGGACAACAAACTTGCTAGTACCCTCATAACCAGTCAATAGGTGTATAATATCATATGTCTTTTTCAATATCACATCCGTATCAACCCGAGACACCAATATAATCCCAAGAGCTTTGCTAGAGGGATTATATTGGTTGAGGGGTGATACGATGTGTGATATTGAAAAAGCCATATCATATACACTTTATTATATACCTCACGTAGATGACTTCATACAGATTAGCGGTTTGATAAAGCCTTTGCAACAGTGACTGACATCGATGACGTTACGTCATACAGATATACGGTGTGATAAAGCCTTTGCAACCGTGACTGATATCGATATCATCACGGATAGCTGATACAGCACGATTGCCGTTGACCGTATTACACATACAATGTATCTGTATTTACTACTAAGTATATAATAAAGTGTTTTATTATACCGAACAAAACAACTTTCTAAAAAAAAAAGACCACATACACCACTTGAAAAACCAAATAGTCACATAAACATGCACAAGATGAACTATCAGGTTGTTTGGTTGTTTTTTTTTTTTGCCCGTGTGGTATTTGTCAATATTTTATTTGATGTAATCAAGACCAGGAATCCTTGTGTAAAAATTCCCGTGCATATAATAAACGCTAGCTAAAATATATTATCGTACACCGAAGCAATCTCAGATTATGAAGACGACGACAGACCCATACCATACATTTGTTATGTTTTAGTTCTTAAAATATGTCATACATGCTTCTTGTAAGCAATATATTGATTTGAAATTACGACGACAGACACATACAGATTATACCGTTTACGATATTTCAGAGTTTAACGTTGCCATGCGCACAAATCCAAGTAGAATAGTCAATGACGTCATTGTTGTCCAATGAAAAATTAGTATGAAAAAGTACGGGAAATATGTTTATAAAACTATTGACTGGGGTAATAGTGTTTGAAACTATTGACTGGCAAATAATCTGTGGAATGAAATGGCACAAATATTTCATTCTATGTTATATAGAAAAAAACATACTGAGGTATAATAAATCCTTGTATCGACCTCATACAATGGCTATAATTGTATAATATCTCCTTATTTTTATATTAGTTACTCTGAATCATATTATTTTACCATTTACTTTTTTTTATGATAAAATGTAATAAAAAACAACTTTTCCAGCTGAGGTTTTAGTTACACGGAACATCCAAACAACCCTTTTCGACACGGACAAAAATGGTAAGGACAGCATTGCTTGTTTTATTATCATCTTGTTATGAAAGTGGTGAATCGAAAGATCTATGGTTGGAGAATCATTACTACATTGTGTTATCGTAATCGAGACTAGATTCGTCAGGAAATTTATTTAATATCCTTTAGAGAAAAAAAGCAATTAAACACAGTTTATACTAGTATTTGAGTTTCATATTTAAATCTATTTTAGCTAACACACTCGCACAATCATATATACTGAAATTTTACTGAGCTTAATATAATAGATTACTCTCCGTCCTTTGATGTTCATTTTTTTATTCGTTTGAAGTTGTTTAAATTAGTACTTTTCAACATTAGCTTCAAATTTAACGTAAAGATTTTTGAGTGGACAATTACGGGAAAATTTAAATAAACAAAACTTGCACATTTTCAAATTCTAGACACCTTACTGTTTGTATTTTCTGTACGCACTGGAATATTTAACTATCAAAAGCTTAGCAGTATTGTACCTGTTCATACATCAATAAAATTCTAACAAATTGTGTTCTGTTAAAAAACAACAGTTTTAATGTTTAAAACTAACAAAAACGAATGACAGGTTGAAAATGTTGAAGGGATCCAAGGCTTCAATTAAAATATGCATTTATGCTCTTTTTAAACTATTATAGCGTTTGTTAGTACACATTTAATCTTTAACAAACAAGCACTAAATATATTAATTTCAGTGCCAATAAATGATGTTAACTACAGTTATGGAATATTTGCTGCCGGTTTTATTGTTGTGTTACTAGTATCTATAGGTAGCAATATTTGCATTGGTAAATATAGATATAGGGCAACACGCACAAAAGTGGATCAACACAAAATTAATATCCAAAACCCGAAATCAAGCGAAAGAGATATAAAGGAATCAGGATCGGTTGATGAAATAAGTAACATTTCGTCCAAATATGAGACAATCAATGAAAACGATATGGTAATGCCTGTTATCACAAACCAAGAACAACGAATACACATGAAAAGTCTAAATAAAAAATCGACTTCTCAATTTGACCATTCATATTTAGAGGTAATTGGTGATGAAGGTAACTCTAGATCTGCTTCTAGTGAAGCAGAGCACGATAGTTCAACCGTTACATCTTCCAAATCAAATGTAAAAAGTGCAAAAGTAAATTCGGTCGAACCATATATAGATAATGATAGAGACGATGATATAACGGCATATCTATCAATGGATAAAAGCCACGTTGAAGAATATGAAACATCGACAACATCGAATAGTCCAATTCATGTGAAAATGTGCAGTGAAAATAAATTTGTTGAAAAAGAAGTCCATCCAACCAAGAAAACAGAATACATGAATAATTATTTCACTTTAAATACAAGTGACATGCACAACTGCCATATCTATTGTGCATCTGGAAAGCCTGGCATATACAGTGTGGTTAAAAAAGAAACACAATCTTCTATAACAGAGAAAAGAAATTCCTGTCCATGACATTTAGATAGAGGCTTGAATTTCTCTTAATTCATATGCAATTGAATAGTTACGTTTATTTTATAAGTGACCATATATATTTTGAATGCAGTTCTCCTGCATATTTGAATAGGCCTAGTCAAGTTACACAAGCTTGTAAAACATTTGGTATATGATGTATATACATGTACATACATGCACTTTTTAATTGATTGATTTTTTCAATCCAGTAGATACTTGGAGAAAAGTCTCAACGATATGACTACACAATTTCTAATAATAAAGTCATGAGACCTTAGGCCTATACCCAAATCAATATTTGGGGTCTAACAAGCAAAAGAAAACATCTAAGTGTCAACATACGCTCTTCAAACAAAATCTGTACAATGTATTAATTATTAAGGTCAATTCTGGAAAGGTTGCGAATTAATTCAAAAGACTCTTATAAAAATATACGTAATACAGTGGACACTTTATGTTGATTTGTACTGAAATGGAGACATAAATGAACCTCTACTTTTAAGAAGTCACTTTAATTTCAGCCCGAACAAAGAGGTGCAACTTTGCTATTCTGCACATTTTGAAAATTAAGCTTCAATTTAAGTCTACAATTTGTTTAATTTTGATAAGGTAAACTACGAATGACATTAACGGTTCTTTGTTGTTTTTTGTTTGTTTTTTTGTTTTTTTTTTTATTTGATGTGAATTTCGACAATTAATGTCTATTTAGTGATTCTCGAGGCTAAAATATTTAAAAGTTCAAAACCTACTACGCACGTTGAAGAGCTGATAAAACCACACACGACAAAATTGAAATCCAAACAGTACAATGAATCAGAATTATGCATGAGAGCGATACATTCCTTAATTTAAAATGATATCGAATTCTATGACAGCAAATTTAAATAGAACAACATCCGTATTTTCATTCCAGTACCTAAATACTGGCTACTTGGCTTGTGTTACCCAGGGTGACTAACAATCCACCAGACATTCGAGAATGATTTTATCTTTATTGTTTTGATTTTTAAATGGAAAAAAGTTGAACTGTAAACTACTGCTCACTAATGCTTCAAAAATTAAAATTTTACTATCCGAATTGATTTTTTCTCATGTATGGGAAAATCAATGAACTTTTTCTAAAACAAAACGATTACTTTCAGCTAAAGCAAAGAAGCTTCATGAAAATAACAATACATTTTGGAAAAATTGTCTTTTAAATGATGATAATTTGATAAATGGAAATGAGTTAAGAACTTATAGAAAATTTAGAAGAAAGTCAGAGCTTGAAAAATGTCTTTCATTTAATTTAGATAACAATGTTATTAAAAACTTTTCCAAAATAAGAATACGTAACAGCATGCTAGCTATTGAACGTGGTAGGTGTAATAAAACAGCTTTATAAAATAGATTGTGCCCCCTATGTAATATAGAGGTAGAAGATGAATTCCATTTTGCAATAATGCGTGCACCGCTCAATAACTCGAGTATGAAAATGTTTAATGAAATTTCTGATATTGTTCCTAGTTTTATTCCAATGAGAAATGGATAAAAATTTGATTTTATTTTCTCTTGTGGAGAATATGACATTTTGATAATTATTATTTATGGCATAAGTGAGATGTATAATTACAGAAACAATATTAGCAATTGTGTATGAACAGTTGATTTAACATGTATACTTTTTTCTTTACTATAACCTATTTGAATATGACGTCCTTATTTCGCTTTGTAAGCAAAGCTGTGTTATAATTAGCACACAATATATTTGACACAAACTTACTGTTTACATTCTTGTTATTTTCATTTGTATCCTAATAAAATATATCCATTTTAGCTGCTTACATAAAATTTATTAAATATTGTTATTCAAACAACACATATTCACCCTGCATTTAGTTTTTAAACTTATTAAATATGAAAAAGTAATGTACATACTTTATGGGGAGGAAACAGGAACATCAAAACATTTCTAAGGTAATTTTGTACGCTTCGACCTATAAGAATACCGTTTTTGTCCTATTAGAATCAAAATAATTCCTTCAGGTCATGCTCTGTACTCATTTTAACATGGTGGGCATTATATTTGATTATTTTTACACCTCGATAACGCTCAGTGTAAAATATCGACAAATATAATGACTACCCATGTTAAAATGAGCATACAGCATGAAATGAAGGAGTTATTTCTTAAATGTATGAATGAATCAAAATAGAGTTAAGCGGCATTTCTTCTAAATATAATATTTTTTAATGCTAATTTAAAGGGTAGGAATGTTGTCTTACATTTTAACAGTTTTTTGAAATGTTAAATATTTGTATTGTTTATTGTTTATTTGTGTTTGTATTTAGTAGCAATCCGATTGTTTTGATTTTATACTAATAACATATCTTATATATGATCTTATTTTATCTTATAATCGGTAAACACGAAGTTAAAAAAGCAATGCATGTGGAAACGCATCTCACGGTATAGCATGTTGATATGAATTTTCATACCAAATATTTGGGGTGCTTTGACTGGTAGTTCCTGAGATAAATGTATCGAAAAATTCATGCAAACAGAAAGTAGATTAACGATGTCTGTGAACATTACTTATACAGTAAAGCATACACAGCCTGTTAACAACTCTAATTTGTAGTTCCAGATCTAGATAAAGTGCAACAAAAATTTCATACATAGCCCTATGTGTGAGAATATATTTGTATTTGAGAAACAGGAAGTTGGTGAGCGATGGATGTCAAAATACATCACACAATATGACAAACTCGTCTTAAACTTAATGGCAAATTTAAAGATGACCTGATCTCCTTCAAAATAAACTATGCAAAGATTTCAAATTTGATGAACCATGACTGAAAGGGCGGGCCTTATCAGTTAAAATCAGTTGTGGTAAAACTAACAACATACCAAAACTCCTTTACTAATAATTACTGTGGTACCCTTCGAACTGATCTAAAAATGAATAGACCATGACTGAGAGGAGCGGGTATAAATAATCTCCATGGATATGAGATGTACTATTGTTGATACAACCCCACACCAACAATCATTGACTACCATTTAGTGTTCCCTTTCAAACTGACCTTGTCATAAACGTTCATATTTTATTTCAGCAAAAGGTTCAAAGTCAATAGACCATGACTGACGTGCTGGACCTTATAATCATCGTGGAAATGAAATGTGCCTATGCTTCTTCAACTGCATACCAAATATCATTAACATTTCGTTGGGATCCTCTTAAACCTAATCACAACCTTAACAAAACTGTTGACGCCGACACCGGAAATAGCACGGATCATGTTTGCCCACGCAATTTGTCGAGGCGAGACAAAAACTGGTTTAGGGCGGGTGGTGCGGAGCAGAATCTGCTTACCTTCTGGAGCACATGAGATCAAGCCCGGTTTTTGGATGGGTTCGTCCTTAGTTTCTGTTGTGTGTTTTGTATATAGTTGATTGGTCGTTTTTGCAGTGGCGTTGTCATATCGTCTTCGACGTACAAGTTTGAATATCCCTTCAGTAATAGCCGCCTCTTTTCTCCGATTTTTTCAGAGCCCAAAATGTCTTTTTTATTGGCATTTCTTTCAATTTTCAGAAAGTTTTCCTAATAAATGGTAAAAACTTAAAAACAAAATTGCCGACCTTCCCAATGTAAAAGTAACCAGTTGGATTAGAATCTAAATTGTTTTTTGTAATGGCAAAACAATATTTAGTTAAAGTCCACTAACATAAATCGGAATCAAGTTGCAATTTCAAAACTGTATTGACCCATTCTGATCAAGGATTAAATCTGTAACTCTGAACAGTGCAATATAAAATCAGAAACCGAATTAAATCTGTAGTGCATGGTCCTTTGGATTATGTAGATAGTTCAATGATTGTTGAGTTATATTTGAATAATCATCTGACCTGACCATCAACAGACAAACATAAGGCGTCGTATGGCATTTACATTTTGAGGCGGATGGAAGTATATACAAAACAAAGAAATTTTGATCGACATTTAAGTTAGTTGCTTAAGTAATGATTTGAGTGTAATTTTCAATTATTAAGTTAGAGATATTGCACAATTCGGAACTATTTTTAAAAAGATTTATATTCTAGCCTTCGATGGCATTATTATGAAGAGATATTCTAGACTTCGATACTATTTCTATAAAAAGATATTCTAGACCTTAAAACTATTTTTAAAAAGAGATACTTTTTTTGATAAAGAAATAGTCTAGACCTCAATACTGTTCTTTATAATCTGAAGATATACCCTGACTTTTATACCACTTTTTACAGAGACATTCTACACTTCAATATTAGTTTTTTAAAGATATATACTAGACTTTGATACAATTATTGTAAAGAGATATTCTAAAGTAAGACACTATTTTTATGAATAGATATA